ATTGCGCTGCGCCTCTAGTGTAGCCCGAGTAAACCATATATTTCTTTCCTGAATTCATTACTAGTTTCCGTTGTCTCACCATAGCGCCAAACTGCAATTCCGAACCACTTGCGTTCAGCAAAGCAAACTGTTTATGTTTTGAGGTGATTCAAACAAAATGTTATACGTTGATGCTAACCTGCTTCAATCATAAGTTGCATACTTTTGATTTTGACTCATTTTCCTCTCCTCTCCTAGGATTGCTTTCGACGCCGTAGGTACTGCTACTTTATCGGGTTTTCGAGTATTCGAGAGATTATGATGCCGATGAAAACTTGTCGTTTCAGTTTGTGTAAACTTGTAGTTGCTTATAGATTTGCGCGTAAATTTTTCGATAGTTTGATTTTTTCTGTTCGTTTTCTCTGTTTCACTGATGAGCTGCATGTTTGTTTTGACCGTACTGTCGTCTCGTATATCGAACTGGTGAGAGGCGGATACCGACTATCTGCTAAGGCGATAAATTTAACTTGGCTTGTCAAAACTGTTGCTATGCATTGAATCTATGCGATCAGACAGCTGGTTCGAATTTTTACTTCGACATTTCATCGGTGTTTTGTTAATGAGTTTTATTAAGTTACTTTTTTTCGTGATCAGAGGTTACTTTGTTAGCAAAAGTGATTTCTTATTGGAACGGCTTAAATGATGTTTTCTTTGGAATCTTGAATTTTTTTGTTCATGTTTGATTTAATTTGTTTTTATTTTGAGTTTTATTCCATTTCTATTGGAAGTTCAACGTTGATGCTTTAGGTTAAGGGATTTATCAAAAGAGCACGGTTTGACGGCTGATAAAATAGCTACATTGCGTTCAAAAGCGCTTGCTCGAAAACGCACTCAAATTAAGAGTACAGAGGAGGATTTGGAAGAGCAGCACCATTATCTGGAATCCGGCCAGATGGATTTAACGAAGGAAGTTGTTAGTCGTGAACTACAGTGGCGAACGCGAACAACGATCATGGAGGCGCTGTCAAAGGTTAGCCGCCGTCTATTCGCTAGTCAGTATTTGACTTCATAAATTATAGAATTTTGCCAAAAGTATATTTCCACTGTTTCAAGCAATAAGGGCCAGAGAAGAAGAGAAAGTTGTGGCTGAAGAAGCCTTGTTATTGTCTGACTCAAGTGATTTACTCAAAGCTTTGGGTCGAACAGGATATAACAGATACGACCAGGAAAGGTTCAGGAAGGAAGGTACGGTTCAGATGGAGTAGGGCTTATTATGCTAAATTTATGACTCAGAAACGGAGGATTTTAAAATTGACACGAAGAGAACATTCACAACTCAAACACTGAAGACCTTAACGGAAGATTCCGACGGCAGACTGTTGCCAGTTCAAAGAACTTATGGCCAGTCTGGAGCTACATTTCCTTTGTCGAATAAGCCAGCAAAACGAGGTAATATCTGCAAGGTTGCCTTTTTTCTAAGAGGCGCTTTTAGCTTCTAGAACTCCTGTGATTGTTATTCCTGCAACTGGTAATTCGCTGATTACCATGTACAATGCTAAGGAAATCCTAAAAGATTTGAGGTATGTAGCTGTATTTTGATGCTCGAATAGACAGTCATGTTATGCCATATTTTATCATGTAACCGTAAAAAGGATAAGCGCGATCCGTTAAATTTCTGTTAAGCGATTGTTCATCTTTTACAGTCATCGTGCTAAGTGACAGGTTAACTGTTAGCAATGGAGTATAAGCATTTGCATAGGCATGTTCCCTTGTTGTTATAGCTTTATTTGTTTAGCAGCTGTCAAAGTCGGGTTATACCCCGATGCGTCTGCTGGGACTTAGTGTTTCACAGTTCTGACAAAAATGCAAAGGCCTTTAAGCTACACGTTAAGGAAGTTGGTCACTGCAGTGCATTTGGCGATTTTACAGACCTAGTCAAAGGAAGACCGATTTCAGTATTAAAATATAGTTTTGGTGCTATTAACATTCCTAAATGACTCACAGCAGGATTTGATTGTTCAGTTCATCAAACTTGTGCTAATGGGCGATCAGGAGGGCTTGATTTGCTGTTTTGTTTTGCATGCGCGTCACTTCTCGCTTTTTCGGATATCGTTATTCCTTGCTAAACCGACCAAAATAGTCAAACCTTTTGCGAACTGTATAAACTCTAATACATAAACTGCCGTATACACTTGAAGGTTTGTAATAAATCATGGAACTCTCAGCTAACAAATCATTGGTAAATGAATGAAGTATGGTGAAATCCCCAAACAAAATAGTAAAATTTCGTCGTGCCTTCTCCTTTCTGAATAGTGACTATTTATAAGCATATACTTTATCGACTGACCAATTTTAAATCTACGGATACTTCGAGCAGAATTGGGTTTTGAACCGAGTTGTCTCTACAAGAGGTGGATTCAGTTTTGAAAAAAAAACAACTTCGTTTTCCTGTATTACAGTTCGAGTGCTTGATTATTCAGTAGCTCAGTGTTTTCCGTATTTAAGGTTTGTCAGCACAGAACATATAAAATTGACCGGAGTGCGACGCGAAAACGAGATACTAATCCATCGTCAGAAAGAAGGAGCCACATCCGTACCCTACAGAATCATAGACAATCCACTAAAGTTGAACGAAGAGGAATGGTACTGAGATTAGTTTTATATTCACTTTCTGTGTATCTTTTTTCTAGGGATCGAGTGGTTGCAGTTTTCGTCCATGGCCCGGCCTGGCAGTTCAAGGGTTGGCCTTGGAATGGTAATCCAACGGAGATCTTTGGAAAAGGTAAATGACTACCGTTAGTCTTGTTCTTTTAATATTTAATCAGTTTAAACGCATTATGTGAGGCTGACGAATTTATTGATTTTCGGCATCCGAATTTTCTTTCTCTGCAGATCTCAAGTCAGTGCCCCGTCGCTTGGACAGACAACGATTCAATGAGGCAACTACTTGTCAGGACGAGTGGGAA